GGAACAGAACACAAACGTCTACTATGTTTTTGTATTAAATTCAGGAGGTGTCTAAACATTCTTGGTATTTTAATGACAAGCAATCATATGAATCTTCATCTTGAGGAATCTATCCCTGAAATACAGCAAGTTTATGGTAAGATTGACTTGTGTACCTTTATACTTAGAGAATACATTATTAATCACACTCAGATGCACTGAGTCTATCAACACTCAGTTATTATTTTTGTAACAAAAACATTTTTATAGTTCTGCTTAGAATTCCTGACAAATGTTTGCTTGTTCTGTTGGCACACTTGCTGTAACTTAAATTCCTTCTTTTTTCCTCCGTTCTCAAATTTTATGCTACATGAGGTACCATTCTTTAGGAATGAATGATATTTCTTGTTCTCACAATGTTACTATGCATAAAGACACTATGTGAACAACCATCTTGCAGTATTTGTGTGAATACAGAAGTGAGAAAGAAAAAAAAAAAAGAAGGGAAAATAGGAAAAAACTGAATGAGATGCTGTGAAAGCATCCTCTCTGATTTTCAGAAATGCTTCCTGCCTAGAGGCAGCTACATATTGATAGGAGTAAGACTGCTGTGACTCCCAAGATGACCTAGAAATCAGTATCCATGTGCTAAAAAGGAATTCTCTGTTTGACTTCAGACTAGATGAGGAAGAAAAATTCAGCATGGTTGGAATTAATACATGTGAAGCATGGGTTTAGTTTGCCCTTGGACCTCTGTCTTGAATAGAAAACTTCACTGCTTTTGCTGCTGTGAACCTGTGATTTTCCTGTGACCTGTTTGTTGTGTTGGTGTGTCTGTATCAAGCTGGTGGTGTTCTGGAGCCATGCTCATGATTATCTCTAAGGGCTGGTGGGAAGGCACAGAGTGTGGGGTTGTTGTGGGCTGACCCCCCTGCTGCCTTGTCCTCTGTCTGGTTTGAATGCCTTGGTTCAGCATTTCAGTCCCAGCAATTGAAACTGAGGCATGAAGGAGTGTGATCTTGGGATTTAATCTAGAAAAGACTGAGATCATAAGCTGAAGGAGGAAGTTGGAAGTAGTAGTGATGTCAGTCCATTTCTGACTGTGTGGCTATCATGAATTACTCATAATGAACGTTCTGATGTACTAACCTTTATTTTTCAAGGATTAAAGAACTTCTATAAAAATAGAACTAGTGGACTACTTAACACTGAATAAATTTCTTAGAATCAAACTTCATATAATTGTTACTATGTTAAAGCTGTTAATGGAAAGTGCCTTGATGCTAATTAGCCATTATGCTTTGATTGTTAGAAAACAAATACAGTTAACTGATAGCTTATAAATGGGATACGGATAAGAAAGATAACACCCAGAGCTCATCTTTACACAGATGTAACATTAGACTTTCTCACGAAGCTCTTCCTCACGAGAGTATAAGACACAGGCAATGCAGGAGTGGACAGCTAATGCCAAACCACAAGAATTTCAGTGTAAAAGATGCCAACAGATGATAAAAAGAATCTTCTTCCTCCTTACAAGTGTGAAAAGAGGGGTGCTCTGGCTGGGTTTTCTAAAAACACCTATTTGCATATGGATCAAAGATATCTGCACTTCACCAGTGAAAATGATTTAGGGAAAAACAGAACTAGTGGAAAAGTTTCAAAGTGTATCTTTTTCAGTAAAAAGGCAGGATAAATTGTTAATGTTATTTTTAATTTTAAAAGTGGTCTTTTTCCAGCATAAACATTTTCTTTTTATTATTAGTTTTTAACCTAAAGGAAATCAGAATATAAAATTCTCTAGTAAGTTGCTTCATGGAAAAGTAACAACAGTATGTTCATCAGAAACAAACTGATGATAGGAACAAATGTGTGTTAACAGACTTCTTAGAGCTCAAGGTCAATAAAGAGCCACTTCAGTTCAGAAGTCTGAAGAAATGTACTGAAGTTAAGCCTAGCTATACTGCACACAAAGCTGACAAAAGAAGAACGAAAGAAACTAAAATAAGGTGGTGTTTCAGTCTGCGACTCCAGAGGCCAGCCCAGGTGGTCCTACCAAAAGGGGCCAGCCTGTTTCTTTCTGCCACTCTCCTGCTTATTCCTCCTGGCCATGTGAAGCATTCCCTCCATTCACTTCAGCACAAACAGACTAGAAAGTTATCTGTGTTTCTGCTGGCTTCGTTTTTTTCTCTCACTGTAGAAGTTCAAGCTCAGGAGGTTTCTGACAATCCCTGAAGCTGCAATATAAACAGCATCATGAGTTTGCTCCTGGGAGTTGAGGAAAAATGAAAGCAGCAGCTCTCTCCTTTTTACTAGCAGTGCACTGTGCATTCTCTATGTCTCTCCTTCACACGCTCTAAGTCATTAGCAGTGACTTTCAAGTCTGCAGGCTTGCTCTCAGGCACAATGACCCAAAGTGATGTACCAAAATAGGCAAAACTGGCATGGTTCCATAGGAAATAGAATCCTATTTAAAACCCCACAGGTGCTGAGTCAGTACAGAATCAAAAGACACAAATCCAAAGCACCATCCTGGAAGATTTTTCATATGAGACAAAACACCTCCTGATCAGCTGTCATCACCACTGAGTCCCTGGGCTCCCTCAAAGAAGAAGTGCCTTTAACACAAGCATAATTTACTAGTCTCTGGAAATTTTCAGCCTGTGCTCTTTAGAACATTTTCTCTTACTTATCTTTTAAATTATTTATTTGTAGTGTGGCTCTACTCCTAAAAATGGGTGTCTATTTTTCTTTATTTCTAAACACTGGGAAGTTAATGTACATTTCACTGTGCCTGTCACAGTGAAATGTACTGGGCACATCAATAAACAGAAAAAACATGCACTATATTCAATGTATATTCAATAGGGAAGGTTTACCTAACATGGATTTCAATTGGCCTTATTTACTTTGAAGTGGTGACTATACATTCAGATGACTTCTACAGATCATTACAAATGAATGTCAGTAAATTTTTTACAGTACCATCTGGTCATATGTTCTCCTGCATGTTAAATTTTGTATTGAAAATTATGTTGTAGATGCATTACAGAGGTTTTAAAGGCTTTTAATGGGTAAAAATTTTTCTAGAGGGTACAATATCACTATTACAGAGCCAAGTTTTTTACTGTTACGAGGCTATGTCAATCCTCTTGGGAAAATTCAAATTAGATGCTCTTAGTGGTTGGTTCTTTTGTAATAATCTCATGTTTTTAGTCCAGCATTAACTGTCTGCCTCACAGACTTAGTATTTTGCAGGGATGTACTTTTGCTATCCCATTAAATTTGTACCAATTTGATCAAACTTAAAATCTTTAGAATATCATACTGAACAATATGTAGTAGATTTCAGAGCTAAACAATAAGTCGATTTTTGTCCTCACTGAGCATGCTCTCAACCCCGATCACAGTGGGCTGGTGCTTCACAGAAGAAGTAAGGACACCATAGTATAATGCTAAAACAATCAGAAAGACTTTTGTTTGAAAATAAAATACTTAAGCTGGGTTAGGTGGTGACAGGACAGACAAGGAGTTAAACTCCCTTAGATGAGCACTGATTCATACTGGGTGCTGGGAAGCAAAATCCTTCTTATAGTCCAGTCATGTCTAAGGTGCAGGAGCTTGTCTGTCACAGCATACCCAGTTAATACATGAAAAGGCTTGAGAAAGAAATGCTGTCGTGGTCTTGGTTCTTTGTCACTCCACATTATGGAGCTCAATCCCAGAAGAATGTATTGGAATACCATGACAAATCCATTTCAGAGCTCCTCTTAGAACAAGGATCATTTCACTCTGTCTATATGCACAATCAGGTCAACAGCTGGAAAAATTCTTATATCTCTTGGGCCAGCCATGCCATAGCTGTAGACAACGTGATCTCTGAGGTGCTATATGGGGAAGGAATCTTAGGAAACCAGATAAAGCAGTAACTTGTACTGTAATACTGGCATAAATCCCACGCACAGTGAGCATTTCCAGGTATTTTTTCCCAGAATACAAACAAAGAAACCAACAAGAACAAACACACACACCCCACAAAACCAACCAAACAAAAACTCACCACCCACACAAGTCAGCTTCACCTTGAAACTATACTTAACAACAATTCCCTTATTTTAACTTGTACATTTTTGTTTGGACCTTTAGCATTTAAGGTACAGAGATTTATGGCATGCAAATATATACATGTTTATGACTTCTGAATCATAACATCTAATTTAATTCATCAACATTAGTAGGTAGTTATTTATAATAATGGGCCAGAGCTTATCTAACTCTAGAATTTCATATTACAGAATGAGTGCTGAGCTTGGGACAGTATGTTCATTTGCATTTAATTCTCTTTTGAAGCAGTGAAATTCTGCCACCCTCTGGACAACAACTAAACTAAGACACATATACAGTCAGCCTCAAAAGACGCCACTTCCGCCAATAAACATATATTGCTTTTTAAGCACATTTTAAAATTAATTACTGGGCTGACTGAAAAAATAGAAGTTATTATTAAACAGGCAAAACAACTACTTTCAGTACTGATCAGCCTTCTTACTAACAGGATTTAATCTAACAGCAAACTTCAAAATTTTCTGTTCTGAACTTTTTCTAGTAGTCACTTGAATGCTCACAGTTGTATTTTTAAAAATCTGCTATCAAAGTACAACACAATGTTTTGTGCCAACATTTATTTCCACAAACCAGAACATTCTGGAATTATCAACATCTTTCTGATGGAGCCAAATGAGAACAAGTATAGAACAGAGTTCAGTGGGAGAAAGAAAGGCAAAGAAAGTTGCACTATGGCTGATCAAACTAGCTTTAAGAAATATCAAAGGGACAACACGACTCTTACATTCACATGGCAAGCAGCATTTGTTGCTAATAATATTGGCATTCAACACATTAATATGATCAGTCAAAACAGTAAAAGTCACATTCAAGGTTTCAATTTGTGCTTCCAGTATAAGTGTGGGGAAGGAGGGCCGCAGCATAAATGTTGCTACATACAGTACCTTGTACAGTACCTTGTTTTGGCTGTGGAGCCTAGCTGCTGCTGTTCTTGGATGAGCTCAGCCAGCTGTTTTTGCAAAGACATATCTTTACCGTGTACTTGTTTAATAAACGGATGTTCCAAAAGATGGGTGACCGAAGGACGCTTCTCAAAATCTTTGATTAGACACCTGTGACAGAGAAATAGGGGTCTCAGACAATGATGTTATCATTACAGCAGGAATTGAGTCAGCTTACTGTGTGGCTGTTACTCTGTTTTCTTTTTCCACAAATTTAAGTTCCTCAATATGTAACAAGACTCTTCCATACTGCAATAAATCTGGCATAAAATACTTAGTTAAGTGAATGCACTCTACAAGAATACTAGTATAAAGGCTAAAAATTCGAGCTTATTTAATGTCTCTTTTTAACTGTAACTAGGTAAAAGAAAAAGAATGACATTGTATCCTGTAAGAGCTGTACAGTTAATATACATAAAAATTAAGATGAATAGACAATACTTCACTGACTTTAATTTTCTATCTATTCTCCGATGAGAGTTTGACTCTGAACTGTAGGATACAGCTGAAAACCACAACTGAAACCTGTGGTACAACACTGCTCAGAAGGATTTGATATACACCTTTGGTTTTAAAATTAATGTTATGGGTAGATATTCTATATCGCAATGATGTGTGTTAGCATAAGAATTATGGAAAATTCTGCAAACCTGCACATTTCAGTCTGGAAGAGAAAGGAATCAGTCAGAATTAAATGCTAGCCACAGTACCTAAGTTTTTCTGTGAACTACTGCAGTACAGGTGAACTAGTAATGAGTAAAGAAATACATCCTATTACTCAGCATAACATAAAGTACCATACTAATTTGTATAATTGAGATTTAAGTTTGGAGAAGTCATCACTCAAGCTGAATTATTTTCTGCATAATAAAGCTGAAATAATACCATTCAAACAGAAGAATGATCCAACAGGATAAGACTGTTTTCAAGTATCCTCTAATTAATAATATTAAATCTTTCTATTCATCTTGCTCAAATAATAATGATATTGAGATTATTTGAGAATGTGAAAAAGAAGTGTTGCAATTCAGTATATACCTCCTTTCCAGTATCTATAATTTTAGCAAATTATAGCTCAAGATGAATTTATTTGATGAGATGTATTCATATTACATACTTTACAATTTCTTTTCATATTTGCTGAATAAGTACCTAAGTACTTCCCTTGCAGGGCCAAATACCACAAATCAAGACTACCATTTTAGCCAAAAGTTCAGTGAAACTTAAATAACTTTTAAAATTGATATTCTAATAATAAAAGTAACAATGTACACAATTTAAACTACATTACAAAAAAACATACACATTAATTGATTTCAAATACTACCAAACACATTAGCAAGTTATTAAAGTTTAGCCTCACCTCAAAGACTTTATTGATGCTAAAGTCTGGTCCTAATATGATCCTGAGATATCTCTGAACATAACTTTAATACTTTAGGTTCCTGAAAATCATTTTACTAACCTCTTCTGTACATCTATTCCAGAAAAGAAAGTCTGTAAAATGTGTTACCAGTTTTGGAACTGTTTTGGTGAATTTTGCTATAGGCTAGAACTGTAGCCTCCTGATAGAAACACTAAAGCAACACAACCTGCTTTATCTCCATCCCTCTGGGCACAAGGCTATAAATACCAGTCCTTCCCCTCCAGGAAAAGATCCATCATTAGCCTTGAACAGGTTTTGACAATCACCTTTACCCCTTTTCTTTTTGTAATCTGGGAGTTTTAAAAGTCAATACACCCACACAGACAATACAATCCATGCCAATCCTGTTTAAATTCATGTTTCCTGAGAAAAAGGAAAAAAGCATTTGAAAAAGAAGACAACATTAATCAGGAAAACAGAGCAAAAGAGAACAAAACAGTAAGTTCTATGCATTATACAAATTCACAGATTAATGGCAAGTATCTGAAGTGGAGATTTCAGTCTGAAAAGCTCATGCACTCATGATTTTTATCATCAGTAATTCTATCAATAATTCCAACTTTACAGTATTTATGTTTTATTTTTAATAAATAAATGTTCTTGTTAAATTCACTTTCATCTAGAGTTTTTCAGTACTATAACTGAATCCAAGTGAATCTACATCATAGGATCATGGATAGTTTGTGTTGGAAGGGACCTTTCAAAGTCATGTAGTTCAAACCCCCTGCGATGCACAGGGACATCAACTATATCAAGTTGCTCAGAACCCTGTTCAACTTGACCTTGACTGTTTCCAGGGATGGGGCATCTACCAACTTCTGTCAGTGTTTCACCTTAATGCAACAACCGTCCTTCTGAAATCTAGCCTGAATTCACTATCTTTTTGTTTAAAACCATTATCTCTTGTCCTATCACAAAAGGCACTTGCTTTTCAGATAATATTAGAGTTTAAATGGATTATCATAAAAAAATTATACAGCTCCAGACAGGATATCTTGTGTTTATCAAAAGTGTGAAGAACATGCAAACCTTAGACCTGGTAGCATGGAGTTATTAATATGAATTCTTTGAGGTCTGAACAATGCACCCACAAAGACACTCTAAAGACAGGATACAGAAGTTGCATGAGAGTTTTTCTATATACATGGCCTCTAGATGAGACATCAAAATGTCCAGGACACTGCACTCATTGTGGAAGCCTAACAAGAGACATTTTGGAGAAAAAAGTTAGCTTCTCTCTAGCATGCCTGAAATGTGAGCTTTTTGGGTCTGGCAGATGTTTTAATGAGCACAGGTAAGTTCTGTGAAGGAGGTGGTCTTGGAGATCTTTCGGATTACCTTTCCTTCTGTCCATAATCCCCTACCCCAGTGACCATTCACTTTGTATGCATGCTTCCCCTTTGCAACAATCAATGTTTATCTATTGTTTCATCTAAATGCAGCCTTCATCCTCTGGCAGTAGGATAATGCTGCAGTTTGTGTTCATGTAGGATTTCACTTGAAACACGACCAAAACTTTGTTAAATTGCAGGATGACTAAGTTAATGACACAAGACACATCAACATGATTCTGTGATCAAACTCTCTCTGTTCCAAGCTCAGACAGAGCACATGTCCTGTTGTGCCAAGTTTGTGCCTGCATGGGAAGAACAGAGTCCTTTCAGAAGGTTAACAAGATGACACAACAAAGCAGAGAGCTAGTAACTAACAGCTGTGCAAGGGTGAGGGAGAGCTGCTTAAATTCATGTCTGTAATTTCATGTGTGAGTACTTCAGCTTCAGGGAAGAGACTAACAGGAGAAGGAACATTTCCACTGGAGTTGGTTTAATCCATCAAGTCAAATGGCAAGTTCCTACCACTCATGTCACAAAAACACAGCAAGCAGAAAGAGCAGGTAGGCCATAGGGAATTGAAGTGTATGAGGAACACATCCTCCTTTGCCTCTAAACAACAGAAGTTTTGACACAGTCACTTCTAGAAATTAGCCCTTACTGTTTCAAATGCAGTAAACAGCCTGCAGCTTAGTCACTGTAGGTACTGAGGGCTCAGTCTGTACTCAAATGTACAGTGCTAATTTGACGTCTCACCAGGCTTGCTGTGATGGAATGTAGGATGGAAAGCTGTCATGTGACACTGAAAACATAGCCCTTATGTTTCTCAGTGCATATTCCTTTGTCCTTATTCCTTTCTATGTAGAAAAGGCCTATTGATATTCTGCTTCTACACACTGTCAGTTCAGCTGTGTTGCTTTTAGTGCAACATGAATACCTGCTGCTGCTGTTCTTAGTAAACATCATCTGTAAAATAAAAATTCTTGGACCACCACCTAAGTGCTAATGAAAAATGATGCATCAGACTGCTGGTGTCACTGCAGGTGTTCAATAAGGTGTCATCATCCTACTGGAAGCAGTATTGACTCTATAATGCTCTTCAGAAAAAAACAAACATAGAGTATCAGCTCTTACAGTGCTAAAGCCTGCACAAGGGTGAGAATTATCACAATGTTTTCTACTGACCTGCACTCTGACATGGAATTATAATGTGTGGAAAAGTTAACCATATCAGTGTCCGAGTTCAAACTTGCCAGTAAATTCAGGGAGATGATGTATCCAACATATATGCCAGAAAAAAAGAAATCAAGAAGTAATAAACATCCAGTAATGTCAACTTTTGGAAGAGTACAGTAACAAACCAGCTTTTACAATTTCCCTCGTCACAAAATATTCTGAAATCAGTCTGTGCATTGTACAAGTGAAATACAACGTAAAAAGCCCTATTAATGAAGGATTTGTTTCTGAGGAAAAAAGAAAACTAAAACATCTTCAGCTTCTCATCTGAACATTCATTTAAGACCAGTTTGGACAGTTAGCTCAGGCACTGTCAAACATCAACCATACTGCAATTATTCATAAAACCAATAAATGTGCTGCACCTGCAAATTCAGCCAAATTGTTTGGCTCATGGAAGTTTAAAAAAAAAAAAAAAAAAAAAAAAAGATAAAAGAAAAAGGTGGTGCATTAGTTTGAAAGGAGCAAATTGACTAGCAAATCTACTACAAGATAGGTTTCAAATAAGGTATGATGAAAGTATCACATTTAGTCTCCTATTTTTTGGATCTAAAATAATAGAAAGGCCAAGCAAGTAGAGATTGAAAAAGAAATAAAAACTGTATGTTTGCCTTGACGGAAGTCAATCCATTATCTAATTGGAAATTCTAGTATCTTCCATCACGCTTTCTTAGCTGAAAATTAATTCTCAGAATTCATTAGCGTCACTACATTAAACATAGGTTGCAGCCATTTGCTGCAATCTCACAGCCAGGCTCCTAAGCACCATTTCCATTCTGCCACAATTACAAGCAAAGATGAAGCATTTATTAGCAGAGGATAAGAGCAGCCTTCCATCCACACAGGCCCATCTGAGACAGCCTCTAAAAATTCACTGGCTGCTTGCACTCGGATGATAACATTGTTGGAATTGCTGGGTCTTGACAATGTAAGCAGCCATTTCACAAGGAGCGAATCAGATGGCTGAAAAGGAGAGATATTTATCAGCATTCATGAGCTAATATTTACTAATGAATAAATGGAAAGAAACAGATTTCATAAGGACTGCAGTGGTGGTCTAAGTCTTCTGTGTGTTCAGAAATAGAAAACTAACGTCACTCACTATTGCAGCCAAATCT